ATGTGTGGAAAAACCTGGGATGTGGGAGGAACCAACGGAGGAGAGGAGCCTGAAAAGAGGTGGCAAAATCTAGATCGGAAAGGAGGGGTAGAGCCCAGAGGAAGGAGTCTGGGTGGGGGTGGATAAAGTTGAGGAATTAGAGAGTGGGGAGCCTATAAGGTTCAGGGAGAGAAACCTAGCAAGCAGGATTTAGCAGTTTGAGAACTATTCTTCCTAGGATTGCCAACTGTCTAATTGTGCAAACCCAAAGACCACTGTCACGCCCATTCTCTGAGGCCCCACCCCAGCTCACTCCATCCCCTCCCTCATCTCTCCCCCCCCCCCACTCACTTTCACAAGGCAGGGGGAAGGGTTGGGGGGGGGTGGTGGTGGTGGGGAGTTTGGGGCCAGGGTAGGGGTGTGGGCTCTGGGAGGGAGTTTGGGTGAGGGGTGTGGGCTCTGGGAGGGGGCTGGGGCAGGGGGGTTGGGTGCAGGAGTGGGTGTGGGGTGCAGGCTCTGGGAGGGAGTTGGGGTGTGGGTGCAGGCTCTGGGAGGGAGTTTGGGTGAGGGGTGTGGGAGGTGGCTGGAGTAGGGGGTTGGGATGCAGGGGGGGTGTGGGCTCTGGGAGGGAGTTTGGGTGCAGGATGCAGGCTCTGGGAGGGAGTTTAGGTGCAGGCTCTAGGCTGGGGCAGGGGATTGGGGTGCAGGAGAGAGTCGTGGTCGGTGTTTACCTTGGGCGGCTCACGAAAGCGAGCTGCACATCCCTCTGGCAGCAGCTCCTAGAAAGGGGGGCAAGAAGGGGGTCTCAGCGCCCCGCTGCCCACAGGCACCGCCCCTGCAGCTCCCATTGGCCACAGTTCCTGGCCAATGACAGCTGCGGAGTCAGCACTGGGGGTGGAAGCAGCACCCAGAGACCCCCGTTTGCCCCCCCCCCAGGGGCCACAGGGACAGTGCCAGGAACGGCGCAGAGCCAAGGCAGGTAAGGGAGCCTGCCTTAGCCCTGCTGCCGCTCCTGACTGTTTGTGCCCCAAATCTCCTGGTTTAGCTGAAATAGCCACCGGGAGATAGAGTGTGATTCCAGGAGACTCCTGGTGAAACTGGGAGGGTTGGCAACCCTAATTCTGCCTGCACACTCCAGCACATTCCCTCCCTCTTATTGCTTCCTCCTCACCAACTCTTTGGGCCCTGTCCGCCTCAACCTATGCTGTGCATGTTATGCACCTGTCTTTCTTTTGCTTACCTGCTTGTTGTAAATTACTTCCTATTATTTAAATTCTAGAAAGCACTCCAAGACTGTTTATTGTGAACACAATGTATACAGTACATTGAGGTCCTATTTCTTGTCTGAGGACCTTAGATACTACTTTCAGAGTAGCAGCCGTGTTAGTCTGTATCCGCAAAAAGAACAGGAGTACTTGTGGCACCTTAGAGACTAACAAATTTATTAGAGCATAAGCTTTCGTGGACTACAGCCCACTTCTTCGGATGCATATAGAGTGGAATAAATATTGAGGACATATATATACACACATACAGAGAGCATAAACAGGTGGGAGTTGTCTTACCAACTCTGTTGAAATAATAATAGCTTGCAGGATTGGAATTTAAGAGGACTGGATTCCAGAGCTCAGGACCATGTATCCCTATATGAACCTAAAAATATTATTCCAATAATAAGCAAGAGAAATCTTACTGTTCTTATAAAAAAAACTGTGCTATGTGTACTACCTTTAAAACTTGGCATAAGGATCTTAGTTACTCTAAAATTACAAAGCACACCCTCCTTTGACATTCTGATTAATAATCATCTGGAGTTCTTAGGGGCAATCAACAGCAGATGTGGGATGAATGAGAGATCCGGGAGCACTATGGTCGATATTATAGAGGAGGTCAGACAACACAAAAAGGTCCCTTACCAAAGGCTTAGTAACTGGTTAAAAGATAGGAAACAAAGAGTAGAAATAAATGGTCAGTTTTCAGAATGGAGAGAGGTAAATAGTGGGGTCCCCCAGGGAGCTGTACTGGGCCTAGTCCTATTTAACATATTCATAAATGATCTGGAAAAGGGGGTAAACAGTCAGGTGGCAAAATTTGCAGATGATACAAAACTACTCAAGATAGTTAAGTCCCAGGCAGACTGCGAAGAGCTACAAATGGATCTCACAAAACTGGGTGACTGGTCAACAAAATGGCAGATGAAATTTAATGTTGATAAATGCAAAGTAATGCACATTGGAAAACATAATCCTAAGTATACATATAAAATGATGGGGTCTAAATTAGCTGTTATCACTCAAGAAAGAGATCTTGGAGTCATCGTGGATTGTTCTTTGAAAACATTTGCTCAATGTGCAGGAGCAGTCAAAAAAGCTAACAAAGTTAGGAATCATTAAGAAAGGGATAGCTAATAAGACAGAAAATATCATATTGATTCTATATAAATCCATGGTATGCCCACAGCTTGAATGCTGCGTGCAGATGTGGTTGCCCCATGTCAAAAAAGATATATTGGAATTGGAAAAGATTCAGAAAAGGGGCAACAAAAATGATTAAGGATATGGAACAGCTTCCATAGGAGGAGAGATTAATAAAACTGGGACTTTTCAGATGGAAAAGAGACGGCTAAGGGAGGACATGATTGAGGTCTATAAAATCATGACTGGTGTAGAGAAAGTATAAGGAAGTGTTGTTTACTCCTCTGAGCACAAGAACTAGGGGTCACCAAATGAAAGTAATAGGCAGCAGGTTTAAAACAAAAGGAAGTATTTCTTCATACAATGCACAGTCAACCTATGGACGTTGTGAACGGCCCTAGTGGGTCAGAGCAAAGGTCTATTTAGCCCAGTATCCTGTCTTCCGACAGTGGCCAGTACCAGGTGCCCCAGAGGGAACGAACAGAACAGGTAATCATCAAGTGATCCATTCCCTGTCGCTCATTCCTAACTTCTGGCAAACTGAGGCTAGGAACACCATTCCTGCCCATCCTGGCTAATAGCCATTGATGGACCTATCCTCCATGAATTTATCTAGTTCTTTTTTGAACCCTGTAATGGGCTTGGCCTTCACAACATCCTCTGGCAAGGAGTTCCACAGGTTGACTTATCTACTTTCTCTACACCAGTCTGATTTTATAGACCTCATATCTCCCCTTAGCCACCAATTTTCCAAGCTGAAAAGTCCCAGTCTTATTAATCTCTCCTCATTACAGAAGCCATTCCATATCCCTAATCATTTTTGTTGCCCTTTTCTGAACCTTTTGCAATTCCAATATATCGTTTTTGAGCTGGGACGACCAAATCTGCACACAGTGTTCAAGATGTGGGCGTACCATGGATTTATATACAGGCAACATATTTTCTGTCCTATTATCTATCCCTTTCTCCATTATTCCCAGCATTCTGTTTGCTTTTTTGACTGCCGCTGCACATTGAGTGGATGTTTTCAGAGAATTATCCACAATGACTCCAAGATCTCTTTCTTGAGTGGTAACAGCTAATTTAGACCACATCATTTTATATGTATAGTTGGGATTATGCTTTCCAATGTGCATTACTTCGCATTTATCAACATTCAATTTCATCTGCCATTTTGTTGCCCAGTCACCCAGTTTTGAGAGATCCTTTTGTAGCTCTTCACAGAATGCCTGGGTCTTAACTATCTTGAGTAGTTTTGTATCATCTGCAAATTTTGCCAATTTTGTCTTGAAGGCCAAGATGATAACAGTGTCCAAAAAAAAAAAATTAGATACATTCATGGAGGATAAGTCCATCAATGGCTATTAGCCAGCATGGGCAGGGATGGTGTCCCAGAAGCTGGGACTGGGTGACAGGGGATGGATCACTTTTACCTGTTTTGTTTATTCCCTCAGGATACTGAGCTAGATTGTCCTTTGGTCTGACCCTGTATTGCCGTTCTTATTATCATTTTGGTCCTGTTTGCCCTTAAAAGTCTATTAATTATTCCTTTGTCATTATCTTCCTAGAAGTTAAAATACCATCTAAGGGAGGCAACTAACTCCAGGAATTACTGTGCCCCAGCTTTTAACCTGTCACATCAGGTATAAGTACTACATAAAAGTCAAGAATGATTCTAGTCTATAGCCATTCACTCTGGAAAACACAGCAAAGGGGGAGTTAACGGTAAGGCTTGCGGAGTTAGACACCTGAGAACATGTGACCATACAAATTCAGTGTAAAAGAGGATGTTATTTAACTGCAAAAAGAACAGGAGTACTTGTGGCACTTGTGGCATCCAAAGAAGTGGGCTGTCGTCCACGAAAGCTTATGCTCTAATAAATTTGTTAGTCTCTAAGGTGCCACAAGTACTCCTGTTCTTTTTGCGGATACAGACTAACACGGCTGCTACTCTGAAACCTGTTATTTAACTGGGTATTCACAGCACATACATCATACACACAATGCAATAACTACAGCGAGACGTGAAGAAAATGCAAGGGACCCCTTGGCCGACCACGGAATCACCCGACTTCATGTTTTGTGCCGAACTTACAGCATTTCTAGACCAGGATTTGAGAGGCCATGACAACAAACCTGTCAGCCCCACATGGGATGACTCTGCGCAAACGGGCAGTAAAGCCCAGGGCAGCAGCGGGAAGGGCGAAGGGGGTAGGCTTGTCCGCCTCTGGCCCCTCCAGGCCCGAGCCCTGGCAACCCGGCCTCCAGCGCGGGGGTCGGGCCTGCTCAGAGTGTGGGGCCTAGCCCACATCCCCATCGAGTCGAGACCGCCCGGGGGAGTGGGGGCGGGGACGAGATGCCTTGGGAAGCCCCATCTCCCCTGGCCCTAAGCTCATTTACCGCCTCGCTCTACTCCGCTCCTGAGCGGAGCGCGGCCCAGCACCCACCCCGCCCGGACCTCCGGGCTTTGATCCCCTAGAGTCACTCCCTTCACGGCCCACGGGCACCCCCCTCCCCGGGCCGCCCCCACCGGAAGTGGGTGGTGCCGATCGGGTTGCGTTTAGCAGCGGACCGGAAATAACCCGGCAGTTCCAGTGGCGTAGCCCGGATGCTGCGCTGGCTGTTTCCGGCCACCTCAGTAGTAGAGGCCAGTCAGAGGGTGGCAGCTGGCTGGCAGGCAGACAGGCAGGCAGGCAGGCAGGGTGTGCGCGGGGCCGAGCAGCGGCAGCGGCTCCCGGGTTGGAGCGGCGCAGACATGGTGCTGCTGACTATGATCGCGCGGGTGGCGGACGGGCTTCCCCTGGCCGCCTCCATGCAGGAGGATGAGCAGGTGAGAGACCGAGACACCCCCCCCTCTCTCGGCCCAGAGCCCCCGACGACCCCCCAAACCCCATCCTCTCCCGGCCCACGAGCCCCCCGATTTCCCCCCGCTCCCGATACCCTCCCCCAGATTCCCCCCATTCCTGACAGGTCCCCCCCTCTCTCGCCCCAGAAGTCCCCCCAAGCACCCCTTCCCGGCCCAGAGCCCCCGAGATCCTCCCCATATCCCTTCTCTCCCTGTTCAGAGGCCCCCCTTCCCGAGCCAGAGTCCTTCCCCAGACGCACATCCTCTCTTCCTGGCCCAGAGCCCCCCTCAGACTGAGATCCGCCCTAGGGGGGGACACAGAGGCTGTGTGGAGGCTTACAAAGCAGACCCTAGGTGGGTTGGATGTGTGCCCTTAGAAGGCTGTGGTAGAGCTTGGCAAACGTGAGTTTCATGCAAGGTTGATGACATTTGGCACTGTTCTTCTCACACTGTGACCCCGTTGGACACTAGACTCACCCACCCCCTGGAACGGAGAGAAAGACATGAAATAGATGAAATAGTGTATTAATGGGTGATTAGTCCACTGACAACAGAGTGAAGTATAGCCTTATAATTCTGGAACCTAATGGTACCTTTTTAATGCTAGTTGGAGCTCTTTTCCAATTCAGCAAGGCTACTTCTGTTATAACCAACTATAATACTCATTAACATCAAACCTACCCATAAGCAGATTTACATTTTTGCCACCTTTTTATTGGCTGTTTACATTATACATTATTTAAATTAACACTTGCACGAATGTTATTTTCAAACTATTAATACAATCATTTTAATAAATGATTTTTAAATTTTAAAATGTTTTATTAAAAATTCTGCTAAAACAGTTATAACCAATTCATAGCCACAACATAACTTTGGGTCATGTCTTTGGTACCTTCAGGTTTTTTTATTGTACTATTTTCAATTTATTTTTAGCTTTTTTTTAAACTACCAGCTTTAATTTTCCATACTTGTCTACACTTAAGCTAACTGAAACCTAAGCCTAATTTTGATTTAACCTATTTTATAGGCTACAGCAGACACATCTTACATTGATTGAAGGTCTTTCCTGTTCAGTAGGAGTGTCACCTCCCCAAACGATATATTTATGTGACAGAAGAATTCTTCCATCAACGTAGTTGCATCTGTCTTGGGGGCTGGTTCAGCATAGCCATGTCAGGGGAGTGTTTTTTTCACACCCCGCCTGATGTAGGTGTGTAGACTAAGATTTATAGCCCCTGAGAAAGGCGGAGACTAGATTTGGCACCAAGATCTAGGCACCCTGCCTCCCCCCCCCCCCCCAAAGCATCTAGACTCCCAAGAGAGAGAGACCATGTGTCTCCTCAGTATCAGTGAAGTTCCTAGAGAGCCTTCCAGCACTGAGATCCCAAAGTAGATCAAAACTGTGTAAGACGCCAAGACCCACCCATCAGTGAGATTCTCACATACGTGCACACTTTTGAGGAAGCAAGCTAATTCTTCTGGAGAGAGAGATCCTGGCAGTATGTCTTCACTGCAGTGTAAGCCCAGGTTAGTAGAACTCAAGTTAGCAGCAGGGCCAGCGCTTCCACTAGGCGACCCTAGGCCTCACTCGCTCCGGGACCCGCCACCAAAGTGCCCCGAAGACACGGAGTGGAAGGACCCCCCGCCACCGAATGCTCAGAGGAGGAGCACTGCCACCTAGGGTGGCAAAAACCCTGGCGCCACTCCTGATTAGCAGACCCAGCATTTGTTAACCAAGGCTTGACCATCTATACTCATTTGTAACCCGAGGAATTGTTGAACCTTGGGTCCCAGCTTGGGACTCCAGCATCCATGCTACATTATGCTGGTCTGAGTCCAACCACCCTTATCCCAGACTTCTTAACACCCTCCCAAAATGTGTCCACTCTACCCCTTTGTTCATGGTGCCATGTGGGAAAACTTGACTGTCCAGAGGACAAAGAAAGCTGGCCTGTGGGATTGTAGGACATTTTTGGCACAGCGTGAGTCTAGCAGGGCTGTGTCTACACTGCAAAGTAATAGGGCTTGAAGCCTGTGTTCCAGTTTGACTCAGACTTGGACCCTTCACCTGTGGGGTACTGGGACCCAGGGTCCAAGTCCTGAGTTAGCACAATTTGTGTGTAGACAGATGGGAGTGGGGTAGGCTTAAGCCTGAGTTCAAACCTGGGGCTGACACTGCAGTATAGACATACCATTTGAATCATGAACTCTTCCCGTCTCCCTCAGGGCAGTGAGACTGAAGCACCTTCTCTGGACCAAGACCCTCCACAAGAGATGCCACAAAAAACAAAACAAAACTCCCTAGGGGACCTCCTAAATGGGGACTGAGATATTCATCAGATAGATTCCTGAGATTTACCAGCACCTACCACTTGGTTTGACTGTGTTCATTGACTTCAGATCCAATTCTGGTAAAACTGTTTGAGGTTAGCTATGGATATCATGTTAGTTTCCTTGTGGGAAAGGGCCTGCCTATACCTTAAGAGGTTGTATTGTTTGTAGTTCATTTTACCATATGGTAGAACCATGCCTAATAGACTTTTTCCCTTCTCAGTCAGGTCGGGACCTGCAGCAGTATCAGAGCCAAGCTAAACAGCTTTTCCGGAAGTTGAATGAACAGTCGCCTACCAGATGCACCCTAGAAGCAGGATCCATGGCTTTCCAGTAAGTAAAACATGCTGTAGAGATTAAGATGGAAAATGTAGGTATCCCAACCTACATCTATAGAAAACTGAAAGGTACTTCCAGGAGACGACGGAGGTATACTAGAAATTGGGCCATTAGAGAAGAGTAAGAGTCATCCCACCAGCCATGGGAAACCTGTGCTCAGAGAGAGTGTTATTTCCTTTTATATCCTTTCAATCATTTTAAAATTTCTTTCTTCTCTAGCATTGTTAGACTTCCTGCATTCCTATCCAGTTCTTGTATTCGGCCGCTCTCTTTTCTGTAGACTGCATATATTTGGTTCCCTTTATGTTTTCTCTACAGGTTGTGCCCACAAATCATTCTAGCATCTGTTGTCCTTTGGATTCTCTGAGGTTTATCAATATATTTTTTTAATAGTGAGGAGTCCGACCTATACTTAGGTTAGCATTACCACAGTTGATTCTTCCTATACAAGATTCTCTTCTCTCTCCATTCCACTATAGTATATCCTTTCATGTATCAGCCTTGCACTCTGAGCTCATCTAATTTGTTGTTCATTATTTCCCTGAATCTCCTCAGCATTTCTGCTCTCCAGCAAGCATTGATTAGTATTAATAACCCGAAGTGTCTTAGCTGCATTTAGCTCATCCCTTTGAGTTCGCTGTCTCTCTCTAAAACCTTCCATAATGTTTGCCCTTTGCTTTCATTGTAAAGCCTTCTAAGTTAGGATCATCTGTAAATCTTACTGATGTACAACATAGTTCTAGCAGACTTGCTCAGGGTAAGCAGCGAGCTGGCAAAATCTGCAGGTGACACAACATCATGTAGGTTAAGACCTAAGAAGACTGATGTACTTCAGAGGGACTTAATCAAGCTAGGCAGCACAGTGCCAGTTGAAGTGAAATGTTGACACATTCAAAGCTATGCACATTGGAACCTCCTAGGTTCTAAACCAGGGGTTGGCAACCTTTCAGAAGTGGTGGGCTGAGTCTTTATTTATTCACTCTAATTTAAGGACGTTTTGCGTGCCAGTAATACATTTTAATGTTTTTAGAAGGTCTCTTTCTATATGTCTATAATATATAATGAAACTATTGTTGTATGTAAAGTAAATAAGGTTTTTAAAATCTTTAAGAAGCTTCATTTAAAATTAAATTAATATGCAGAGCCCCCCAGACTGGTGGCCAGGACCTGGGCAGTGTGAGTGCCACTGAAAATCAGCTTGCATGCTGCCTACGGCACATGTGCCACAGGTTGCCTACCCCTGTTCTAAACTAAAGATTGAAAACATTTGACTGGCTACCTTTAGAGAGGTGATTAATAATAGGGGACATAAAAGTATACAAAATGTTGAAAGTTATAGAGAAGGTAGAGGTACCTCTAATCACCTTCTCTCATAATACAAAAACAAGGGAACAGCGAAGTAAACAAAAAGGTGGCAAAGTCAAAACTGATAAAGGAAATTGTTTTCAATGCAATTAATTGCCACAGGATCTCATTGAGGGCAAGACAGTAGCAAGGTTTAAAAAATTTGTACAGGTAAAAATATCTAGAGTTAAAAACTCTTGTTTGGAAGCACCCTCATGGCACACAGCCAGTCTGTAATAGTTGGGGCTTAGGAGGCAGCTTTCCTCAAGATGGGTTAAAGGTTAACTCATAATCACTTCAGTTTTTTTCACATTTTTTCACTTTTCTCTAAAGCAGTCTGGTGCTGGCCATTGTTAGCAATAGGATGCTGAACTAGGTAGCCCACTGGTTTGATCCAGTCAGGCAATTCCTGTGTTGAGAATTTCTGTTCCCAAAGATGCTACTTGATACCTCTTCCCAGTTTGCAGTCAATCTGTCAGTCATTTGTTTCCATACCACAATATTATCCAAACATCATTCTGACTTCCACTGAGATGCCTGGGGAAGATTATATCTAAATCATAGTAAAGCTCTTGCTATGTAGTGTCCACGGTTCTCTCTGCTTACCAAACTTATAACTATATCAAAAAAGGCTATCCGGTTTTTGGTCACACTTATTTATGAATCACAACCACCTTGCAGTGGCTTTGATTTCATCAGAGCTGTTAAACTAAGAAAATTCAGCCAAGTTCAGTATTTCTCTGGGAGATCTTAGAGGTGCAGTTGAGGGGTGTTGGAAGTGTTGTGGGTGAGTAGGCAGGGGAGGAGCACTTTGCCCTGTGAGTCAGCATTGAAGCAGTTCTTCAGCCAGCTGTTAAGGCAGGGGTGGGCAAACTACGGCCCGCGGGCCGGATCTGGCCCCACAGGGCTTTGGATCTGGCCCATGGGATTGCCCTCTATGGCACTGTGGGCCCCACGCCGCTCTCAGAAGCGGCCAGCACCACGCCCCTGCAGCCCTTGGGTGGGGGGCTACATGCGTTACCCTTGCCTCCAGGCACCACCCCCCGCAGCTCCCATTGGCTGGGAACGGGGAACCGCAGCCAATTGGAGCTTCGGGGGAGGTACCTGGAGGCGCGGCAAGGGCAAAGCACATGGAGCCATCCGCCCCGCCCTCCCACAGGCGCCGCAGCGCTTCCTGGAGCGGCGCAAGGCTGGGGACAGGGCAGGCATGCAGGGAGCCTGCCCTGACCCCGGTGCATGCCGCTGCCACCCCAGAGCTGCTTTAGGTAAGCAGCGCTGGGCCAGAGCCCAAACCCCTCCTGCTCCCTAACTCCCTAACTCCCTGCCCTAAGCCCCTGCCTGCACCTCTCACCCCTCCTGCTCCTCGCACCCCAACTCCCTGCCCTGAACTCCCTGGTGCATCCTGCACCCCTGTGCACTCCAACTCCCTGCCCTGAGCCACCTTGTACACCCTACACCCCAACCCCCGCCCTGAGCCCCCTGCCACACCCTGCACCCCAACCCCCGCCCTGAGCCCCCTCTGACCCAATCCCTTGCCCTGAGCCCCTTCTTGTACACTGCACCCCCTCCCACACCCCGCACTCCCTCCCACACCGCAACCCCCTGCCCCGGCCCTGCATACAATTTCCTCACTCAGATGTGGCCCTTGGCCCAAACAGTTTGCCGACCCCTGTGTTAAGGGGTGCAAATTGCTGCTGGTGCCATTTTTAGGATGAGACATAAAGTCACAGATGAAAAAGAAAATCAGTTTTAGTTTTAAACAAAAATTCTAATTAAACTTTGATAATGCTGAATAAAAAAAAATGGTGTTTGAGATTTGGCCTAAAATAGTCCTATTTAGTGGCTAGTGCATTAGCTTGGCCGAGGAAAAAAACGTTCTTCGTTAACTGATGTTCTAACTGCTTGAAAATAACGTAGTGCAGAGTAAAAAATGCCATGACAGATGTCGTGGAGCAAAGTGGAATGTGCACTTCTCCAAATGTGCTGAAGTGTTAATATGAATAGCCTTGAAACTGACAAAGTTTGAAGAAAATTTGGCTCTCACTGAGACCCCAAACCAAGTTTGAAGAATTTTCTTCAGCCATTTTAATGTTGGAGATTAAAGTAAAAAAGCCTTACAACCAACCCAGTTATCATGGCATGTGAGTATACACACTGATAGGTATGCAGGTGATAAGTGCCTATGCAGTCCGCTGTGAAATTAGTTACTAGCTGACCTTTGGCTGATTAGTGTTGTAAGTCTTTAAGTGCACAGATTACTAGTTTCATGAAAAGGCAACCCTTGGCCTTTGCCAGCTGGTGCCTCTTAAAGAAGTGTTTTTTTTCCCTCTCTCTTAAAATAAATATAAAATATTAAAATAAATATAAGAAATTAAATTTTAAAAGTATATTAATTAAGATTGCACAGATAAACATTCAGAAATCAAGAATGCAAAAAGTTAAAAGTGGCCAACTGTATCTCTGTCCCCTTACATACATGCATTGCAAAAAGGGCTAATTACATGATTTTATACTGTGTTAAAATTTATACCAAAAAAGTGTTAGTGCAGTGTTAAAGTTGAGAAATCAAGCCGTTACGTGAGAAAATTTATATTACGGTTAATCTGGGGTGGCAATGCTATGCGGCATTGGAAATCTGTGTGCTTTCTCTACTGATATAGAAAACTTGGAATCCGAAACAGCTAATATCACAAAAGGAGTAAAAATAGCTTTGGGAAACATGGAGACCAAGGCAAGAGAGCTCAGATCAAAACCGGCTGGCCTAAAGTGTGATGGTGCGGCTGTGCATATGACAGGAGACCGTGTTAAGAGAAGATATTGTACTCTAGCTTCCTGTTACACCTCTACCCCGATATAACGTGACCTGATATAACACAAATTCAGCTAGAACGCTGTAAAGCAGTGCTCCAGGGGGGTGGGGCTGCGCACTCCGGTGGATTAAAGCAAGTTCGATATAAAGCGGTTTCACCTATAATGCGGTAAGATTTTTTGGCTCCTGAGGACAGCGTTATATCGAGGTAGAGGTGTATGTGCCTCATAGGAGATTATCCCTGTCTTAAAAGGTTTTGTTTTGAAATATGTTTTCTCATTTTGCTCTTCGAATCCTGAAAGATTATGGATTGCTCAAATTCTTGATAATGATTTGAGGTAACAGTGGGTTATGCTGGGAGGGATCCAGTATGTGTGTTGGGTTGGTAGTCAGGCCAGAACACTGAAGGCAAGGATCAAAAATGATCGTTTGGCTAGCACTGTTTTGGAACATACTGTAGAAACTGGGTCATGGACTGATGTGGAACAAGTTAGGGGCTTTCTTAGGGTAAATCAAGAAGCTAATTTGTGAGTATATTCTATTCCATGGTGGACAGTGGTGACTACACTCTTGCTGTTCAAGGCAAGCCCCATTGTTGTTTGAGGCTTTTTACTAAAGCTAGGAAGTGCCATGTTGGGAGTGCAACAAAAACAGATAATCCTGGCCTCTCTGTCCAAAAATTAATTCTTGAATGTGGCAAATTTGAAGGATTTAAACATTTCTGGGTCACTAGAGGCTAAGCTGAGGAAAAATCAGATCTGTATGCTTGAAGCTGCTGTTGAACATATGGATACCAGAATTACCAGGCTATTGTATGGTTTCAAAACTTTCATTCCACACAGCGGCCTAGTGATTGAGAAAATAATTGGTTCATTATGGCAATGTACAAATTAACAGCGTGCTAAATCACTACATATAGGTGTTAAGTAAAGAGAAAAGAAAAGGTGACTTACCAGTTACTTTTAATGCCAATAAATCCACAATAGTGCATATGCATAATGAAAGGTTTGAACCCCTAGGCAACCTACTTTAGTCCCATCAATAACAATATAACCTCTATGTCCTCATTGTCTTGTATCACTGTGGTGCTACAATACGAGTTTTCCACAGTTATTTAAATTAAAACAAGCCCCCAAACACACACGTGTGCTTTGTTGCATGCCATGACTTGGGCCATTCAATTATATCTGCATCCAGTGTAGGTGACTTTCAGCCTTCTCTGGTATGCTGTACTACTGGCTGGAAGAGGAACAAACATGGTAATAAACATAATCACGGTTAGCATTCAACAGCAGGCAGCACTAGTTAGTGGAAGGGTAGCTAAGTGCTATTCTGTATGTTCAGATCTAAATCTCAAAATCCAATGGACTTCATCCAATCAAATTTGTTCTTGAATTAGAAATAAAATACATATTCTCTGTTCTGGCATGGGAACTGAAACTGACACTAAAGTAAGGACAAAACTAAACTTGCAAGAACAAATGATAGTTAGACACTAAAAAAGGGATTAGGGGGTATGGGAGAGGGATTAAACCCTGGCTCATTAGTCAAAAACAAAACAAGTGGAATGCAGCAAAGTGCCATTAAGCAGTCACATCAGCTACTATATTTCATCATAACATGCATGTGAATGAGGCCACAGCCTGAAAATTATTGGCACAATCACACTTTCTTGTCAGATAACAAAACCTGAAGTCCCAGTGGCCCACGGACAAGCAGCATTTCTGTTTCTCAGCTTGCCTCTGTGAGGCTTTGTGTATGGGAAATGGAGTCCCATGTCTGAGACTCATCTAGGGTGGAGTTTGGGATGCCCCAACTAGTCTCCTAAGGCTGTGCAGGGCTGACCACCTATCTGATGATTGCCAGGGGATTGATACAGTTCTGAATCTCTGTAGGAGATGCCACAATAGTCTTCTCTCCCTATTTCCCCATCCCACCCACCCCCCTTTCCTGCTGACCTCCAGGAGAAGATGCTCCTGTGCACTGTACAACATATCCTCTCCCACATACATTATGGAGCTGCCCTACTGGGTCAGACCATGGTGCATCTTGGTCAGTATCCTGGCTCCAACAGTGGTCTGTACCAAAGCTTGAGGGGGAGTATACAGAACAGGGCAATTATGGAGTGATCCACCCCATCTTTCACTCCTGGCTTTTTGTAGTCAGAGGTTAGGGTCGCCCTGTGTATGCGTTTGCCTTCCTGACTGTTTTGGCTAATAGCGATTGATGGACTTATTCAGTTCTTTTTTTTTTTAACTGAGTTATACTTTTGGCCATCATAATACCTGTGTCAATGAGTTCCGCAGGTCAGTTGTCTGTCATGTGAAAAAGTACTTTCTCTTGTTTATATAAAACCTGCTCCCTGTTAATTTCATCACCTGAGCCTTGGTTTTTATGTTATGGGAAAGGCTAAATAACACTTTTCTGCGCTCACTTTCTCCATGCTGTTCATTTTATAGACCTCTGTCATATCCCCCCTTAGTCGTCTCTTTTCTAATCTTTTTTAGTCTCTCCTCATACTGAAGCTATTCCCTACCCTTGATCATCTTTGTTGTCCTTTTCTGTACCTTTTCCAGTTCCACTACATCCTTTTTGAGATAGGGTGACCAGAACTGGACATAGTATTCAAGGTGTGGATTTACCGTGGATTTATATAGTGGGATTATGATAATATCTGATTTATTTTCTTTCCCTTTCCTAATAGTTTTTAAGATACTGTTAAGCTTTTTACCACTGCTGCACATTAAGCTGAAGTCCAGGGTGATGCCAAGATCTTCCTTGAGTGATAACAGCTAATTTAGAACCCAACATTTGGGATTATTTTTTCCAGTGTGCATTACTTTGCACTTACCAATGTGAATTTAATCTGCCATTTTGTTACCAGAAAGGGCATGGGAGTGTGGGGCCTGCCTCCTTCAGATGACAGAATGTCAGCAGGAAGAGGGGAATGTCCCTTATTCTGCTAAGTCCAATGTCAGGACTTTTTAAAACAACAAACAAAAACACTAAGGAAATTCTCAGGCAAAACTTTGTTAAAATGAAGTTAAAAGCCTTTGGCAGCGATTGAACCCAGGATCTGAAGCCTCAATAACACTGTAGTTAGGGAAAAGAAAAGAAAAACTAAGGTATTCAGAAAGGCTTCATTTTAAGTCTAACGTGTAAAACTGTGGAAATTCAGTCATGATACTTGCAGTAGAATAACTCTGTCCTGAGCAATGCACCGAGAACCTGAAACTTACACTACAATATCCATCCCAAACAAACAGTTCATCTTAGCAGGGGATGCTAGAGCTAGACTATAGTATGCTGGTTTGTGCCAACTAAGCTGCCTTTGTGGCTATGAAGTCCAAATAAAAATGCTTTACAATGTCCTGGTAAGATGAGCTTGCTGAAAGGAGTCATTCCCCACTCCTCATTAAGGGCTCCTACCTGCCAAGCATTGCGTGCTCTCATCATCTTGCAGGGTCAGGCCCTAGGATTCTGCATTCCAGCCAGTCATCCAAGATGATGTCTCATATAAATTCTCCTAGGAGGGTGAGTAGATGGAGATTATGATATTTGCAGAGGAAAGGAAAGGGTTAGTGCAATGACAAGGTATCCCAATATTGGGGAGACACATATGAAGCCTGCTGTGCAATGCCTGGTATGCTTTTGTGTGTAGTATAATAATAAACCCAAAGGCTGGGATACTCCGCCATAGAGAAGGAAATATGAGAAAGGGAAAAGTGGTGTCTTACAGGGGCAGGGTTAAAATTTGTCCGGTTTGTTCTCTTCTAGCTACGTTATTGAGAAAGGGGTATGTTACCTGGTGTTGTGTGAGGCCACCTTCCCCAAGAAGCTGGCCTTTGCATATCTGGAGGATTTGCATTCCGAGTTTGATGAACAGCATGGAAAGAAGGTGCCGACGGTCTCCAGGCCTTATTCCTTCATTGAGTTCGGTGAGGTCCTTCCCCTTGAGACTAATTAATAAACATCCTGTTTGTTTGGCCACATTAGCCTCTCCCAGCTCAGGCCATGGAACTTACCACTGACAGTGGAGAAATCTGGTGCTCTCTATGAGCCAGGCATGCCAGGTATGTGAATGGAGAAATGGTAGGGGAAATGGCAAATTTTCTACAATCCAACTTTCCGCTTTTAAGTCTTGGCTTTTTCTTGTTAGCATTCGTGTGCACCTTGCTCACTCTCTCTGCAGTGCTCTGCACTGGGGTAGCCCAGAAAAAGACAGCACTGGATGCTCATGCTCCGTGGGCAGCCATATTGTTACTCCCTGGCAGTGGTTCTCCCCTGATTGTGTTAAAGGGTGGGAAGCAAACTAGCAAACTTCCTCTCACTTGAGGTCACATGGGCAATGTAGGGACTTCCAAAACAGCCCTCAGCTGTACTTTTATGGCAGCATTAGAGAAGTGTGGGAAGTGGATGTGAAGCATGGTGGAGCCAACTCTCATTAAGCATTGAGGAAACCTCTGAGCTGATTGGCTTTAGATGTACATGTCCTCTTTTGGGTGGCCTGTTCTTGTAAGTCCAAAGGACATCCATCCTGTCAACAGCTTTGTTCCTGGTGAAGGCACGCAGGATGCAACGTGCTCTAAAACAAGTCATCAGTGTTCCTTGTGTCTGTCAGGGGAGGAAAGGGTTGTTAAATTGCCCTTGGGCTATGCTGTCATGAGGTCAGGTGGTTGGGATCTACTCAGAGCGGGGTAAGAGGTGTGGTGGTGGGTGCAGTTTTGGGGGGAAGAGGTGGAGGCTGGCTCGAGGGATGTTCTTGGCACGGCAGGCAGGAAGTGCTGGGAGGAAAAGTTTTCCATGTTGACAACCACCTTTTGTTCCAGACACTTACATCCAGAAAACCAAAAAACTCTACATTGACAGCCGGGCAAGAAGGAACTTAGGCTCCATCAATACAGAGTTACAGGATGTGCAGAGAATCATGGTGGCCAACATTGAAGAAGTCTTACAGCGAGGAGAGGCGCTGTCAGGTACACGGAGTTCAGCTTTTGAAACTCCTTCCTCTCTCTGAGGCTGGCAGGCGGGAGATGGCTGAGGGAAGGATTCTGAGACTGGGTGGCAAAGAGGGCCTCCTGAATCAAGATTGCCTTGTAGTGTGTATGTCTGGCTGAAAGTGCATTTTCATTTGTCTGATCTACATCATAAATAAGGCTAAGATTTAGTATGGGGTATAAAAGTCATGGATAGGTCACAGGCAATAAATAAAAATTCGCGGCCCGTGACCTGTCCATGGCTTTTACCAAAAATACCTGACTAAACCTCTACTGCTGCTTCGGGCCCTGCTCGAGTGCTGGGGGTTGGCTACCCCCGGCTGCTGCTCCTGGGGACTGCTCACCAGACGGCCTCCGGGCACCCCTGGGGCTGCTGCTCCAGCTCCCTCAGGACTGCTGCTGTTCGGGCGGTCCCCAGGGCACCCCCAGGACCGCTGCTGTTCGGGCGGTCCCCGGAGCCAGCCACACTGGCCACTGTTCTAGCGGTCCCCAGAGCCAGCTGCCTGGGGCCTCCCGAGCAGCAGGCGGTGTGGCTGGCCCCAGGGACAACCAGAACAGCTGGCCCCGGGTCACTCCAGCAGCGGCAGGTGCAGCTGGCTGCAGGGCAGCCCTGAAGTCAGCCACACCAGCCGCTGCAGAAGGCATGGAGATTGCAGAAAGTCATGGAATCTGTGACTTCCGTGTCCTCTGTGAAAGAATAGCAGCCTTAATCATAAACCATCTGGCAATTTGTAACCCTACTTTGGGAGGAGCCAAAGCCCCTTGTGGGCTTGGGGCTGTTCTTGTCCTGTGAAGATGAATGTTGGTGGTGTGTGTCAAGGACAGGAGTGATATGTGCTAGTGTTTTGAAGGTGCTGGTGAAGTTACTGTTGACTCTTCTGTTTGGGGAGGTAAACAGTTTATATTGCATTGTGTTTTGGCTTGGCTAACAAGCTTAATGTAGGAATCCTTCAGAACATGAGGAATGGAGGATGCACAATAAATCAGATAAAGCTCCGATAGAGCAGCTGCAATTATCTATGAACACAATACAGCGGGAGTGTCTTGTTACTGTTAATCCTGCAATTAATCTGCTTCCATTTTCTCTTCCTTAACAGCTTTGGATTCCAAGGCCAACAACTTGTCCAGTTTGTCTAAGAAGTACCGTCAAGATGCAAAGTATCTTAACATGCGTTCCACCTATGCCAAACTGGCAGCTGTAGCTGTGTTTTTTATCATGTTAATAGTCTATGTGAGGTTCTGGTGGCTGTGAGATGTTGGCAGTCACTGGAGAGGGAGAGCTTGTAACATGGCAGGTGTATGTGTGCAGCACACTTTGTTCACAGGGATGTGCATTAGAATCCACAAAGGACTGTCACCTTTAAGGGTGTGTCCTGAAAATGATACCTGAGTACTACACTGCTTAGTGAATCTTAATCATAGGTATAAAGTCTTCTTGGTGGACTAGAGGCTTTTCCTATGAGGCACTAAACACTAGGGACTCTGTAGAGTGTGGCCTCCCAGTGTACTAAACTCATTAACAGTGCTGTTTGATGTGTCCTGGAGCAGTTAATCAGTGAAGTTTATCCTAATCGGGCGGTACTGGCAATAGTCACTTCTTCCTCCCTTTTAAAAAGTAGCTCTAGTGGGAAATGGACTCTAATGAACATTCCTTGTGTCAGCAATGTTTGCTTTTCTAGAATCTGGGTCTGCATTTGCTTTTTTAAAACAAGACTCCCTTGTTTGAAGACTGATTCTGCACTGTACATATGTAATGGCTTTCACCCTTGTCAAATTAGCTATTGTTGGGTTTTCATTGTCTGACATCTTTGCTTGTTAAATTTTCAATTGCTTTAGGAATAAATGGATATTAAATTATGCCTTAAAATTACATTATATTTAGTCTAAGGCGAGACAGTGAAAGGCCACTATCACTGACTCCTACAAAATTAAACTACTAGTTTGTAAATCTCACTTTCCTGGCAGTTGTGTATAAGAGCTTGTTTTAACGTGACTCAGAACAGTCTGTTTGTGTAATTAAAAAGCCACTGGCCCAGGCACAATGCAAACAATTTCATCTCTGTTTTCCTGCCATCTATCTATCTCCAGAACCATTGCATTATTTCTTTCCCCTCTGTAAACATTCTTTATTCCTCAAACAAGTGTATCACTACCGCTAGCATTCCAGCACTTGCAAACTACTCTACAAAAACAGCCCAGTGTGTGTGTGATGAAGAAAAAGTAGAACATTTCTTTAAAGAAATATTTCCGTTTCAAGTTTCTGTGAGTTTGGTGATAGAGAATAATACAGAGTTTTAAAAACTACAATCCCTTGTTAATGTCCTGTTCTCCCTATGGTCACCCTCTCTCCACTTCTTTTGGCAAGATCTAACTGTAGCTGAAGAGAAATTCATATTGCGTGGCTACAGCATTTAATTTCTTAACTTGTTTCTCACTAAACAATGTAAATAGTTCCATCATGATGTGATTTTTTTATATATATATATATATATTTTTTTTTTTGGTCCAAGTGCTAGAAACTTTGTCTTGCCTATTAGGCTTTAGTTTTTTAAATCAAAGCTCTGTACAGGCATCCCCCACCTTTTCCACAGTAAGGTGTCTGTTTCTGTCATTATCTAGCAAGTGAACACTCATAGAACAGAAGGAGAAATTCAAAGTTCCTCAGCACCTTCAGAAAACACTTAATCTGCTGCAACTCTGAAAGTGTAAGCTGTAACCAAGATGGTCTCCTGCAGTAAAGTAGGGCATAGGAGCGAAAAGAAGCCTGAGTGACTCCCCTCTCCTCCTCCTGTGGGCAGGCAAATAGGCAGCTAAAATTTGTCTGCTGATCTACTTGCAAACCTGATCTGTCAGTCTCATCTTCTGATTTTTGCATGATGTTTCCATTTGTTTATTTGTAGAGAGCTGTACTTTTAAATTCTTAAAAGTTGTGTCCCTGACAGATGAATGTACAAGTGATCTAGGTCTGTGTGTAACTTAGGTACTGAGAGGTGAGCAGACACTACATCTAGATTTTGTAATGACCTATAGGGAGTAAAACTCTTGCAGTGAATGGCAGCACAGTGAGCAGTTGCCTGCTGTAGCCCCAGTGTCACAGTGAAATAAACACTTGCAAAAGTTCATTTCCTTTAGTGTGGAGTTTCCTGTCTATATGTACAGTTTTTTCCTAAAACACCCTCTCCTTCCTTCTCATGGTCCAATTTGTCCTGGGGTAGAACTGGGCAGAGGCCACTTGGTAAATACTGTATTAATGGAGTAGGCTTGTACCTAGGGTGGAACATGTCCTTTAACTGGGGCTGGGCTCAATTTTTCGCCTGTAGGTTGGGTAGAGTTTGGCAAATGTCATTGTCCTTTTCTAGCCCCTAGCGGGAAAACTTATAATGTTACCTATTACAGGTGGGCCCAAGGCCTGCCTTTGTGACCATAAATGCATGTGGAGAGTAATGTATGCAACTGCAGCTATTTTGTGTAGCAGTTTGCAGCTTAGGTAGGTCTTGGCACTGAGAAGCAAGTCTTAATTAATACAGCAAGCTAGTCAGTGCACTATGCGTTCCATGGCTTTGAATTTGCTGAAGAATCCATCTCTTGCTGTACTCAGAATGTGTTTTTATTTTAAAAATATTGTTCCTAGCCCTTTCCAAGGTGCAGAAGATCTTAAAAACAGGATGCAGCTAGAGTACCCTGTAGTGTGACAGTAGGGTGACCAGACAGTAAATGTGAAAAATCGGGACAGGGTGGGGGGTAATAGGAACCTATATAAGAAAAAGACCCAAAAATCGGGACTGTCCCTATAAAATTGGGACATCTGGTCACCCTATGTGACAGTGCCTCAGACCAGTGTCCTGTCTGGGAGGGATCAGTGCCACATGCTGCAGGGGAAGTTACAGGAAACCCTGAAGTTGATGGTTGTGGAATAATCTACAACCACAAGGGGGAAAGGTTTCGCCTTCCCCCGGCAGTTGTCAGTAAGTTTATACTATGAAGCCTGAGTGTTTGTCCTTTCTAATTTTGTGATCCTGGTTAACTGAACTCTGCATGTTCTCATTAAACATTCCCAATTTTTTTTAATCCTAAAACTTTGACATTAATAATCTAATGCAATGCATTCCAAATGCTAATTGTGCATTGTTTTAAATTGGCTGCCTTCGACTTGATTATATGTCCCATGAGATGGACTGCAGGTCCAACACTGCCCTGCCTTCAGTCCAAAACAGAGGCATTCTGGGAGTTGTAGGCCTCACATCAAGAAGTGCTGGGAGGATGGGCAGTATGGAAGCAGCTCCCTTACCTCAGGGCAGGAGACAGCAAGGTGGTGGGGAGCTTTGGCTCTCCAGTCAAAGGCTGGGAAGAGGCCTAAACAGCAACCAGTCAGAGAGGGTCACTTGGGCATCATCACAGAACCTTCAAGTAGCCAGAACTGGAGCCTGGCACCAGGTTTTCCTGAAGTACCCTGAGGAGAGGGTATAGTCTGGGTAGAGATCCAGAGATGGAGACATTTCAGGTCTGGTTTACAACTAAAATTTAGGCCAATTTAGCGACATTGCTCAGGGCTGTGAAAAATGTCATGGCCTCTGTGATGTAGTTAGGTCAACCTAATCCCCATGGCAGATGCAGCTAAATTGATGGAAGAATTCTTTTGTTAACCTTCCTACCCCCTGTCAAAGGTGGATTTACTACAGCAATGGGGAAAAAACCCTTCTGTTGCTTTAGTATCTATACTACAGCAGCATAGCTGTGCCACTGTAGTGCTTGTAGCAAAGACATATTCATAGAGAGAAGCGAAGGTTGTAGCCTGAGCAAAGAAAAGAGGGAGTTTAGGGCCAGATCAGATGCCTGCTTCATTAGCTTGGGCCAAAGGTGGGAGCTCCCCTTTCTCGAAAAACCATCAGAGGGCCCAACTGTCACTGCAGAAAGGGGAAAAGACCTGGAGAATGTTTGAGAGATTAAACCAACTGATCAGTGAGGGAAGTAGAAACAATGGCCATGCTCCCAAGGTAAGACATTCCTTTTACTCCCATGGTCCCCGTGCTCTTTGCTAAGAGGGTCAATAGGAGACCCTCACTTACTTTCTCTATGCCGCTCACTTTTTTTTATACCTGTATCTTAGTTCCTCTTATTAGTTTCTTCTCTTAACTAACTAGTTGCAGTCTTTTTCTGTTGGGGGGCGGAGAGGGGTCTGTCTCTCAGGCTTTGTCTACGCTCCAATTAGACACCCATGGCTGGCCAGTGCCAGCTGACTCAGGCTTGTGGGACGTGGGCTAAAGGGCTGTTTAATTGCGGTGTAAACTGACCCACCCAAGGTCTTTACTCCGTTCAAAATACTGAATTAAGATAAGTTTAGTTTGTTATATTCTGTCCATTTCTCTCTCCTCCCACAGAGCATTAGGGTATTCCGCTGTTTAGTTTAAGGAGGGAAGCCATACTGCTTTACAGGTTCAGTTTTGTTTGATAAGAATCTAACTCAAATTCCATCACATCCCATATACACAGAGTCAGCCAAAGGAGGAGGAGACTCAGACTTTGTGCTTACTTTAGTATGTCTCAATGCAGAAAATACCATTTTTAGCAACTTGTGGCCAGACTTTTCTTGCTCAATCTTAACTTCCAAAGATTACGTGTCAGTTGGCCACTGTGTGTCACTGAGACATTACCTGGGCTACCAGCTTCCCAAGACCCACGTACAATTTATTCATAGGAACAACAGCAATAGGCTCATCCATTTAATAAATGCCTGTCAGTGGTAAAGCCAGATAAAGTTAATCAGTTTCTTAGGGGAACCTATGACCCATTTCATGGTACACACAGAACATTTTGACATTTGCCTTAATATTTGGCAAGTCAGTACACTTGATAAATTTCAGATGCAATCATTCCAGACTAAACTGCTTTGCTATCCTGTCTGCAAAGCCTCTCCCCAACTTTCTTTGGCAATGCGAGAGTCTGGATTGGAGGGGAGGGAGGAGTGGGGCAAAGCAGGGCAGGGGTTATTTTCTTTTCTAAACAGTGTGTCTGATTTGGTAGCTCAGAGATTGCACAAGGCCCTGCTGTAGTAAAGCCAGAGTGTATGAGGCACATTTCTCAACCTTTGCATGGAAGCTACTATGCAAGCTAGAGGATGCCAGAATGAGCTCCTCTTGTCTCATCCAAAATCCTTTGTTCACCTCTTGCCTGGGGACTGTGCTGCATTATAGCTTATTTAATGATTGTTTGTCTGCATCATACACAAAGCTCAGTGCTTATATGTAATGGGTGGGGGAAATGCCCTGTCTGGATTCCAAGGTCAGAAGGGACCCTTGTGATCATCTCCTGTATAACACAGGCTACAGGACCTGAAGGAACAACTTCTTTGGAGCTAGAGCAGATCTTTAAAAAACATCCAATCTTGATTTTAAAATTGCCAGTAATGGAGAATCCACCACGACAAACTGTTCCAATGGTGAGTTATCCTCACCTATTAAAAAATTATGCCTTATTTCCAGCAGGGGGCAGTGCTGTCACAGCAAAGGACACCAAGTTCCCCTTCCATTACCATCTCTCTTGGGAAGGAAGTTACTCCTGGCACACACTGTAGGTTTGAGGGGGCACAGGGAAGTAGCTGATCACACTTAAGGAGGGACTCCTGTACTAGCTAAGAGGCTTCCATCTACTGTATAATTTGTAAGTTTCATTTACCAATATCCTGAGCTGTAGTCTCTTTTGTTAGATGAGAGAGTCCTGCTCTAGTATCAGATCTTCTCCCCAGGTGTGTACTTAGACCATGATCAAATGGCCTCTTGTCTTTGATCAGCTAAGCAGATCTCCTTTAGTCTTGACTTTAACACACATTTCCTAGACCATGAGTCATTCTTGTAACTCTTCTCTGAACCTTCTTCCAATTTTTTCAACATTGTTTCTAAGTGTTGACCCCAGACCTCAACATAGGGTTCCAATAATGGTCTCACCATAGCCATATGCAGAAGTAATACCTTGATGTTGCCCTGTTTATATATCCGAGGATTGTGTTAACCCTTCTTGCCACAGCATCACCTGGGGAGCTTATGATGACTTGTTTGCCCACTGTGACCCCTAAATCCTTTCCAGTTACTGCTTTCCAGAATGCAGTCCCTCATCTTGTAAGTAGATCCTGTGCTCTTTGTTCCTGAATGTATGAGCTTGCATTTTGGTGTATTAAGATTAAGGCTGTTGATTAATCGCAGTTAACTCACGCGATTAACTCAAAAAAATTAATCGCAGTTTTAAGCGCACTATTAAACAATAGATACCAATTGAAATTTATTTTTGGATTTTTTCTACATTTTCAAATATATCTATTTCAGTTACAACACAGCATACAAAGTTGAAGTGCTCACTATATATTTTGGATTACAAATATTTGCACCGATGGCAAACAAAATAAATAGTATTTTTCAGTTCACCTCATACAAATCCTGTAGTGTAATCTCTTTATCATGGAAGTGCAACATACAAATGTAGATTTTTTTTTTTGTTACATAACTGCACTCGAAAACAAAACAATGTAAAACTTTATAGTTTACAGGTCCACTCAGTCCTACTTCTTGTTTAGCCAATCACCAAGACAAACAAGTTTGTTTACATTTATTGGAGATAATGCTGCCCGCTTCTTATTTACGTCACCTGAAAGTGAGAATAGGAGTTCTTATGGCACTTTTGTAGCCGGCATTGCAAGATATTTATGTGCCAATTATGCTAAACATTCATATGCCCCTTCATGCTTCGGCCACCATTCCAGAGGGCATGCTGATGATGCTTGTTAAAAAAATAATGCATTAATGAAATTTGTGACTGAACTCCTTGGGGAGGGTTTGTTTTTTTTTAAATAACCCGTATTCTGACATATTTCATGTTACAGTAGTCTCGGATGATGACCCAGCACATGTTGTTTGTTTTAAGAACACTTTCACTGCAGATTTGACAAAACACAAAGTAGGTACCAATGTGAGATTTCTAAAGATAGGTACAGCGCTCGACCCAAGGTTTAAGAATTTGAAGTGCCTTCCAAAATCAGAGAGAGACAAGGTATAGAGCATGCTTTCAGAAGTCTTAAAAGAGCAACACTGCAATGCAGAAACTACAGAACCCGAACCACCAAAAAAGAAAATCA